ATACTCCCCATGGGCTCATGTGTGAAAACTTGGTCCCCAGTTGATAGTATAATTTTGGTACCTGATGAAACCTCCAGAAGGTGACACATATAGATTAGAGGGCATATTAGCCAGGCTTCTCTAGAGAGACAGACTGATAGAATATAGGTACACACACCCATATATGTGTATGTGTATGACAGTATTAGTAATTTACAGGCTGTGGTCCTGCTAGCCCAACAATGGCTGTCCACCAGTGAAGTTCCAAGAATCCAGTAGTTCAGTCCGCGAGGCCGGGATGTCTCAGCTGGTTTTCTGTATACACAAGAATCCCAGGGAAGGAATAGATTTGCCGGTGAGACCAGGCAGGCAAAGACAGCAAGCCTCCTCCTTCCGTATCCTTTATATAGGCTGCCAACAGAAGGTGCTGTCCAGATCACAACTATATCTTCCTACCTCAAAAGGTCAGGATTAAAATCGGGTCTTCCCATTTCAAATGATTTAACAAATTAAAAACGAAATCCCCCACGGATGTAGTCGCTGAGGTTGACAACCAAGAATAATCACCCACAGAGAAAGTAGACTACACGCCCTGGAAAGATGGACCCTCGGTCGCTTTCTGCTTCCCATCCACCATGGAGTGAGCAGCCCTTCTCATGCTCCGCAATGAGAGTGTTCAGCTTCCCTCGGACCCACAGCAGGCAATAGGTCTGCTGAAGCCAGGCTCATACCTCTGAAGCCATGGACCAAAGCGAACCCTCCTCCACTTCGTTACTTTTCTCAGTGATGAAAAACAACTGTGTGTATTTGAATTTCTAATAAACAACAAAAGCTTTTCTTCCTGTGGCTATGGCCCAGGCAATTCTTTTATGTGATAAACCCTAATTAGGCTATATATATTAAATATATAGATAGATATAGCTATATAGGTAGCTAGAGACAGGATTGCAACTAAAATGTGAGAGCATCGTTATCGATCAGTAAGGAAAAAGGCAAATCACTTAACCCAAACAGAAAAATATACAGGGAAAGAAAAGCCAATGAGCCGTAGGCACAGAAACATGTAACGTGCTTAACGTTAAATACAATCAAGGGGATGCAACTAAAATACTACTGAAAGTTTCGATTGGAAAAACTTTTATTCTGTTAATATCAGAGAGGATAAACAGCCACCAGGTACTTCTTGCTTATACCATAAATTGCAAAAGCACAAGGGATCTCGCCAGCCAGAAGCAGCTCTCAGATCCGTGCCTAGGGCATCGCGGGCAGCAATAACTACCCCAGAATCATTTACAGCCAAGCTAAGCTGAAAATGGGGCAGCTAACGCAGAATGAGTAAATAAATTTGATAAATGCTTCTATCGTAGACTACTAGGCAAGACGAAAACCCCCGCTGTCAACACCGAATAAATCTTCAACATAAATCCCGTGGAAACCATCAGCTGCAGGGTTACGACTCGATACACGCACCCTGTGTTAAATGCACAGAAAGTAAGGTATTGCTTGCTGGTGCCTATAAATAACAAAATACAAAAACATGTCTAGATGTAAAACACTAAATTAAAGGTAGCTCCAAGAGGCCGAAGAGGGTGGCTCTGGGGTAATATGGGGGAGCAGGCTTTGTTGCTCGTGTCTTCCTATTTAAAAAAAAAAAAAAAATGAAGAAGGAAAGGAAAAGGCAAAGATTATGAAACGTCGAGATCTGGCAAGGTTGCATGATGGGTATTATTGAAATAAGTCAAAATGGTTACAGAATAGACAAAGGCGAGGGGGAGGCGTGGAGAGAAAGACAGAGACTCAGGGTGGGGTCGGCAATGAAGGACTCCCAAGCCTTAGAGATTCGCTGACTGGGGGGACAGCCGCACAGACACACTGTCTGGAACTAAGTCTGCCCCGGGGAACACTTTTCAGGAACCAAGCAATGCCTTTCAAGGCTTGAGAAATACCGGAGTAGCCAGTCTCACCTCTAGTCCTGAACATTCCAATGAACTGATGAAATTAAGTACCAGCCTGTTACGCGCCAGCTTCCAAGGGCTGAACTTGGGAGCGGCTCGGCGGCTTTCTTCCCAGAATGCTCTTCGCAGTTTTGCTGACTCTCGGTTTCTCGGTTTATGGCTCTATTTTGGGCATGAATAAAACTGGGTTTGCTTTCTTTAACCCCATGGATTCTTGCTCTCAGTATGACACCCCTTCAACAACAACAACAAAAAAAACACTCTAAGAAGAAGATAGTGTCGCATGCATTTAGTCATAGTTTTATGGGACCCGGGAGCCTTCAGGTTGACGACGCAAAGGCTCCAGGTGAATTACCCGTACCATATTTAGACTTAGGTGGACGAAGTGTGGACGGGCAGGTAGAAAGTGATTGGGAAAGGCGTCTGTGAGATCGAACATGGTGGGAGATGGGCAGTCTATCCAGCTCCTCTAGGCGTCTCTGGCTAGCATTCTTCAATCCAGAGCAGAGCGGGAGCTCTTATGATCGCACAGTCTGAGAATTTCTTTATGGACATCTCCCACACGGAGAAGAAAGAGTAAGCTGAGGTGCTACCTTGGGGTCTTATGGCTCGTTTGAGCGACAACGTGCTGCGAAGAAGCCATGCGAGAACATGGATGGACATAACCTGTATCTTTCAATGACGTATGAAGTTTCTGAATAACAGTAAATAACACGTTACCTTCCTTTCCTTGACTGCAATTTCCCAGGCAATGCCAGCTTCCCTGGATAACTGGCCACTGGCGAACACAGGCTCGCTCAGCCCGGTCTCAACCGGAAAAGTCTCAGGCCATGCTCTGTATGCGGCATAGTGATGTCATTACATTTGTCTATACCCACACAGAAATATATGTAAGCTACAGAATGGCTACCACAGGGTTAAAGCAGCCTCGTGGGAGGCCGAGGACCAGTGCAGATACAGAGTCACCCCAGCTGCTAAGGTATTAAGAAAGTCTGCTAAAGAGAACCAGAGAGATGGCCCAGTGGTTAAGAGCACTGACTGATCTTCCAGAGGACCCAGGTTTGATTCCCAGCACCCACATGGTGGCTCACAACCATCTGCAACTCCAGTTCCAAGGGATCCAATGCCCTCTTCTGATTGGTGCATAGTAACCATGCAGGCAAAACACTCGCACGCATAAATAGAAGTGTAAAAGACACCCCCGTCAGAGTGTGGCCAGAGACAGGTCCCCCAGAGACAGGTCCCCCAAGTGAGCTGGCCCATGGGGCCATGAGGTTGATTGAGTCAACTGTAGAGGAAAGAAAACGGAGGAAAGTCTCCAAACATGGTCAGAACCGATGGACAGACAGACAGCAGTTCAAGTAGGCTGTTTTAAGCAGTGAGGATGAGGCTGAGTCCCAGCCTCAGATGTAGTCAGGAAGGGTTCCCCGAGACACACTTTGAGCTTTCAGATAACAAGTCAGTGGAGACACTGCCATGAATCGTTAGGTACCCTCCCTCCCCTCTCCCTCCTTACCCCCCCCCAACATCCCCACCATCTCAATGTTGCCTAGCTGGTAACCAAGTTCATATCACATAGGCCAAACTACTGCACTAACAATCACAAATTGCCATAGGCATGTGCACCCTAGCCTAGAGTACCAGCTGTCCCCTAACTACCCTGGTGGCATCTAGCATATGCACAAGGTGCACCCTGCCTATGAAAAAGCATTTTACAGTGGCTACAGACAATATAAAATCCTGCGGTGGTTTAACCAGCAATGTGACGGTTTTGTGTGTTTGGCGAAATCCTTGGTATCTCTGGCTGTTTGTCACCATTGCCTTAACGCATGAACAACGTTCTTGCTCTGCAGGAAAAACATCGTTGACCCAGAAGACCCCCGATGTGCTCGGTTAACGCTCACTGGCCGGATGATCCTGGTGCCGCCAGGGGAGGTAGAATTCGCCAAGCAAGCCATGTTTTCGAGGTATGAAGGTGCTTTTAAGACTGGTCTCCCTGGAGCCAGGTATGGCCATGCACGTCCAGCATTTGGAAGGGCCATGGCAGAAAGAGTCAGAATTTGAAACCAGTCCAGACTACGTAGTGAATCGGAGGCCATAGCCTAAACTACGTAGTGAGAACTTATCTTAAAAAATAAAAATCACAGAAAAAAAAAAAAAAACTGTTTGCCTCAAAATAGACAAGAACAAATTGGATGTGAGAAATAGTGGGGAACGGTGCTTACGGGCCTGCCCCTCCTAGCTTGCTCAGTTGGCTTTCTGACACTCAGCTTAGGTATGGCGCCGCCCACAATGGGCTGGGCCTTACACATCCATCATTAATCAAGGCATTGCCCACAGGCCAGTCCGATGGAGGCATTTTCCTACACGGAAGTTTCCTCTGCCCTCATGCCCCTTGTCAAACTGGCAGAAGTCAAGCACCACTTGAACTGAGAGACTAAGGCTTCCTGACTTCCTAAGGCTCCCCCAGCCCCTGATCCCCAGCTCATCAGCTTCTACCTTCTTGGGGGATGAGCCTAAATCAGACCGGGAGGTGGGAAGTCCCTGGGACCGGCTGAGGTGCACCCACTGACAATTGCAGGCTCACTGGCCTCTCTCCTTGCTTTTGCAGACATCCAGGGATGAGGAAGTGGCCTCGCCATTATGAATGGTTCTTCATGAAGATGTGGGTAGAACACATCTGGCTTCAGAGATGGTACGGAGGTGTATCTGACATCCCAAGGGAGGAATACTTCAAAGCGGCTCCCAGAAAGGCCTGAAGTGCCTGACACAGAAGTCCCGGGCTTTGCGTTAACGAAGACCTTTGAAATGAAGAAGCCAGGCGGTCTCTGACCGATGTCTCTTTGTTGAAGGGTGCCCAGCTGTCCTGTCATCCCGCAGCAGGATGAGAGAGAACAGACAGGGGACCTTGGGCTAGACTTCCGATTTGTTGGAGTGGTCCTTTGCGGATCTAGCCTTCACACGGGCCCTTCACATAGAAAGATTTTGTTTATGCTGTATTCAACACAGACACGCCCGTTTGGAAATCATGGTTGTCAAATTGGAAGTTGTGGTTGCTGTTCTTTTCTTTAAAAGAAAAAAAAAGTGATGCTTATGTACCATGTTATCGCCTTGTATCATGAGAACATTGTGCAGTGCTCTGGCTGGAAGCTCATTGTATGAACAGAGCTCAGTGTGCACCACGTTGCATTGCTGTGGGCTCGGGGCAAGGCGGAAGGCTTTCTGTTGAAGGTTATGCACTACATGACTGAATTGCAGATGGATTTTCTAAGATATACTGGTCACTTGGGGAGCCTTTCCCCCCATTGCAGTATAGCAGTAAGAACAAGCAGCTTTGTACACAGCCTATTCTAGGTGATCAGTTAAGCCCTTCCCGGTGAGATGTGTGTCCTCAGTGTCTCTTTCAGACAGGGAGACTCGGAGAGGACCAGTCAGTATCCCAAGCTCAGATTCCGGAGGTCGATGTCCACGGTGGGTGGGCTGCGACCTCCACGTCTTCCAGTTTTAAAAATGAATGAGTTCCTGACGTGCACAGGTAGTGATCAAGCTAAGACTGTGATTATAAAGAATGACTAACTGCCTGGAGGTCACGTGTAACTGCTTGGGGTGTCAGGAGTGCAAGGATAGGGAACTTGCTTTAACACTTTTCAACAAATCATTTACAAGCGTTCCTACAAGATACTAGACTAAAAATGTGTATATATCCCAGGCCTGACTGGACCAAATCACAAACCAACGGGACCAGAGAAGATCTGACAGTATCCATATTTTCTATCTTTCCATAATGGCTAGAAACTCTCTTTAGTAGGTCAGCTATGTTATATAACATAAAATTACACCACTAATGCAGAGAATATACATATTCATTTTTATCTATTTATTTATTTTTTTGTTTTTCAAGACAGGGTTTCTCCATGTAGCTTTGCAGCCTGTCCTGGAACTCGCTCTATAATCCAGGCTGGCCTCAAACTCGCTGAGATCCTGCCTCTGTCTCCTGAGTGCTAGGATTAAAGGCGCATGCCACCACTACTCAGTGAAAACACACACATCCTTAAAACAAAATAATTGCGTCTAACAAAGTAAGACATGAACAGAGTTGGTGTTGCCAAAATATATTCTAGCTTATTGCTAGAAACCAAGTGAGCTACGTATTTTTTTTTTTTAATTTGTCTTGAGCCATTTCACAAGAGTTCCCACCAATCATTATTTCTACTACATAGTCATAGGGTAGCTTTGCAGAATGTGTTTTTTATTTCTAGAGCTTAAAAACATTGCTGCCCCCAGTTTAGAAGGTGGGGTCTGGAAGAACAAATGTATGTTAAAGGTGCTCGGTACTTCAGATCGCAATCCTCAAGGTGTCACTAACAACACCAAAGAGTGTTATCAGCTATTTATCAAAATGACAGGAAATAAGATCTGAACAGGCCAGACAACAGGAACAAGCTCATGGGCTTGAAACAGACGGGTTCTCTACAAGCAAATGCGTTTTAGCAAACCTCCAGGAATTTACGTTGAGCTAAGATCTATACCACCAAAACAGAAGCTTTAGAAACAGCAATAAAGCAAGAAAAGTTCAGTGCATAACCAATTGGAAAGAAAGACCAGAAAACTCCAAATAATCTATTTTTTAAAAGTCAACAAGCTTGGGTTGGAGAGGTGGGCTCAGAGGTTAAGAGCATTGGCTGCTCTTCCTGAAGTCCTGAGTTCAATTACCAGCACCCACATGGTGGCTCACAACCATCTGTAATGAGATCTGGTGCCCCCTTCTGTCATGCAGGCAGAACACTGTATATATTCATAATAAATAAATAAATAAAATCTTTTTTAAAAAAGGAAAAAAGCGCTTTGCAGACGCCGCTGTCCCTTGCCGCTTCTTCCTGCAGCCATGGTCAACCCCACCGTGTTCTTCGACATCACGGCCGATGGCGAGCCCCTGGGCCGCGTCTCCTTCGAGCTATTTGCAGACAAAGTTCCAAAGACAGCAGAAAACTTTCGTGCTCTGAGCACTGGAGAGAAAGGATTTGGATACAAGGGTTCCTCCTTTCACAGAATTATCCCTGGATTCATGTGCCAGGGTGGTGACTTCACACGCCATAACGGCACTGGTGGCCGGTCCATCTACGGAGAGAAATTTGAGGATGAGAACTTTATCCTGAAGCATACAGGTCCTGGCATCTTGTCCATGGCAAATGCTGGACCAAACACAAATGGTTCCCAGTTTTTTATCTGCACCGCCAAGACTGAGTGGCTGGATGGCAAGCATGTGGTCTTTGGGAAGGTGAAAGAAGGCATGAACATTGTGGAAGCCATGGAGCGTTTTGGGTCCAAGAACGGCAAGACCAGCAAGAAGATCACCATTTCCGACTGTGGACAACTCTAATTCTTTTGACTTGCGGGCTTCTTACCCACCAGACCATTCCTTCTGTAGCTCAGGAGAGCATCCCCCACCCCATCTGCTCGCAATGCCCTGTAATCTCTGCTCTCACTGAAATTGTTTGGGTTCCATATTTTCCTCATTCCCCTCCAAGTCTAGCTGGATTGCAGAGTTAAGTTTATGATTATGAATAAAAACTAAGTAAGAACTGAAAAAAAAAAAAAAAAAAAAAAAAAAAAAAAGGAAAAAAAACCAGCACAAAAAATTTAATCAAATTTCCACATATTAAAAACCAAACAAAATTAAAAGCATGATATGTCTATGCTATAGAATACTACTCAGCCATATAAAGGAACTAATTATTGACACAAGCAGCAGCTAGAGGAATCTATAGAAAATTATTCTAAGTGATTAAACGAGCCACATAGAGAGTTGACATTATATAATTCCATGCATGTAACATTCTGGATATAAAATGTAAGAATGAAGGCTATGTCGGGAGTTTCCAGAAGTGGGCACAGAATGAGACAGGTAAACATAACTAGACCGCAACCGTAAGTGGCTAACAACCAATTCTTATGTCGACGAAGTATCCGTATCTAAATCAATATTAAATTGGGGAAACCAGGTAACAAGAACATGAGATCTCTTTGTATCACTTCTTAAAACTGCATCTGAATCTTATTATCTACCGCTGCCTCAGCATCTCCAAGTTGCCTCAGAGGAAGTACTTAATGGGAAGACTCCCTTCAATAAGTTTTTTATGCCATCTTTCTTGTGAATCCCTAGCAAATGAAGGCCAAAATGAAGAACTACATATCAAAATCTAGCAGAAAGGAGACATTTCTTCTGTTGAACACTAACATGACACATGTAACCCTTCTTTTAAAAGGTTGTTTTTTTTTTTTTTTTAATGTATGTACTTTAGTGCTGAACACAAATTACTAAGATCCTGATGGGTCTCGGGGGTATAGTCCAACAGGGCACTCATTCAGTGTGAAGCGTGACCCCAGTACCATTAAAATGAAAACTGTTTGGGGGGTGCCTTACAGATTTTCTGTGGGCGAAATGAATGTCTTCAAGCTCCCGATGTACACATTCTGAGTAAGTGATAAGTGTATATAAGTAGTTGAGTTTGTAAATAAGGTTTTCCTCACTATATTATCAGTTATCATTAGCTCTCTGCTAATGAAACATCTAAAGTAAACACAGACCTCTATGTATTTGTCTTGGCCTCCCACGACCATGAAGCTAGCCCATTGTGAAATGCTGCTGCAGCACATACCTGGGTGTCTATTGACTCTTGGAGACTATATTGTTTTAGGATTTAAATGTGTCCCTGAAATTGTCCCCCCCCAAAGTCTTGTATTTCATTGTTAATAACATAGCTGTCACCAGTGAAATATCTATTGATGATAAACTTCTCTAGAATAACTTACTGATGTTTATTTGATTGCGATAGCAAGTCGCTTACAGGAAACTTTGTTGCAACAGTCGTGGTTTGTCTGCGCTGTGGAGCCCAAAGTCTGTCTTCACACTAGGTATGTCTGTTTTGTCAAGGACTATTTCATTCCCAGTACAGCTTCTGTGCTTGACTGTGCTACTCTGAAGATGTTGGGATATTTATTCATAGTCTTTTATATGTACTGTTATAAACTAACATTATTAGATTCCTAAGAAAACAGGTTACTTCAATGCATCTGCAAGTCGATGACCCTGCCCTCAAGACGATGCATTTTACAAACACTAAGCAGGCCTCAGCCTGTGATCCTCAAACTCCATCAGCATTTGCTACTTCCAGGCCAACTATGGCACACACTCTAGCCCTGGATAACTTCTGTATTTATCTCTCTGCTGAGTTGTAATCACGGAGACTGGCTCTCATTGTAAACCTGAGGGCTACATTTTAAGGTCCACATCTTTGACTAGGCATGCCTTCAGTCGATTCCCAAGAGAGCAGCCCCCTGTCTCCTCCTGTGGAGTGTCATCTGTGTGTAGGCAGACCAAACACGGGAGGGTGGGAGCAGGTGCAGGAGATAAGGGGAGGCATGGGGAGATCCTGGGGCGTCTTCTAACTGTTTCCAATAGTGGATGATGGGCCATATAATGGGACGTGTTAAAGATGAAAATGCAGAGAAGCATTGACAAGCATTAAGAATTAACTTGCAAATGAGCAAAAGAATTGTAACTCGGGACTCAGGCGATGGCACGCTAGAGGTGAGTGAAGGAGGAAAACGCTCTTACTGGCGAAAGGCATGTGTTACTTGGATACAAGCCCACGGATGTCGAGGACATCAGGTCCCTGGAGGAGGGCTCCTTATAGTTATACAGGCTGCTGGACAACTTTGATTAGAGAAACCCGCGAGGCCTGAGCAGCACAGGGAGTGTGAAGGAAGCTCTGGTCACGTGTTTAGGAAGTTCCGAAACAGTCTTATTCCGGGCAGGTCACCCTCACACACATTTCATGCTTTCCCAGCTCTGGCTTTCACTGGGGTCTGGTAAGGGTGACTTCACCTTGGTAGCAACACTTTTCTTAGAAGGAAGGAAGCCAGCAATGCCAGGAAGCAGATTAAGAAACCAGTCAGTTGGGACCATGCAGCACCTGCAGAGGAAAGACCTGTGTGCATAAGGCCGGAGCGTTGAATGCAGGAAAATGTAGAAGGCAGTGACGGGGGGGGGGGGGGGGGTCCCC